ACCCAACGGGCAAGAAAGGACAAGTTCAGGCAGAAAGAATACAGGCCCCTAAATGTGCAGAGAAACACTTGACCTGTTGGAAGATGATGGACCTCTTAAGAGTGGAGGATGATGGCTTTGTGTCTGGATTGCAGGTCCTTCCACTCTGCAGGCCAAGATGTTTTGTCAACGTGAAGCAGAACGATGCACTGGTGCGTCCTGGCAGTTTGTCATTAGTGGAGAGGAATCCCTCCTCTTCGATGCGATGAACATGACCTGGACAGTAATTAATCATGAAGCCAGCAAGATCAAGGAGACACAGAAGAAAGACAGAGGGCTGGAAAAGTATTTCAGGAAGCTCTCAATGGGAGACTGCAATCACTGGCTTGGGAAATTCGCAGAGCACTGGGAGGCAATGCCAGAGCCGACAGGTAACTGAGCTAAGTGGAAGAATGCGGCAGCTCTCTTTAAAGGTCAAAAGTCTTCCCTGTGTGGGCATCAGCATGTGTGTTGTGGGTAACACCCTCTACGGGTACTGAGGAAGGAGAACTGCTCAGATCCTAGGCATAATTAGTGCCTGAAGTACACCTCACTGCTTACTTATATCTAGCCTATATATATATATATAAAATAATTCCACATTATCTTTCTAAATAATCATATAACGGATGTAGTCGGAGCTGTACCAACACATTTAGTGCTGATTTATATAATCCTTCCATATAACCATAGAGTAGTTTGTAGTAGGAGGAATGCCTAGAGCAGTCACAGAACTGAAGCAGTACATGGGAAAACAGCCAGACCAGGACAAGAACCAATGACCCAGGTGGTGCGTCCCTGCCTGAAAGGGCGTACGCTGTATGGCAGGCTTGGAGCAAGAGCCTTTCCTCCTGATAAAGGAGTTGTAGTACCTTGCATCCAGTTCCTGTGGAAAGTAGGCCTCAGGCCTGACATCCCACAAATAACCGAAGGGAAGAAGCCTTCTGGTGTGACCAGTCACGGAGGCTGTACACCCTGTCAGTCTTTTCTCGCTTCTTTACTAGCTCAAATCATCCTCTCATAAATATCCTAAGAGAAGAGCACAAATCTGTCAGCTCCCACTGCATTGGCTTACAGTACCCTTCTATTAGAAACCCTTTGAAGTCATCAGCCCCCAGATAAGAAGTGTTGCGTACGACACCTGTTGCACACAGCCTACCTCCTTGCTTCTGTGACCTAATGGGGGTGGACCCCTTTTCTGTACACAACCCTCTATTACTGTCACGGCACGGCCCCCTACTGCGCATGACCCACCTCTCTGCCCAGGTGATGTAATGGGATGTCCCCTTTGCTTGTGACTCACGTGATTATGTATGCCCTACCACTAAGCCTATAGATGACGACCTCACTCACAACCCTGCCCCCTGCTTGTACCTAATAAATACAGAATCTTCTGGGCACTCAGGGCCTCCCTGGTCTCTACTCATAGGTCGCGTGGCCCGCTGAGTCCAGTTGCTCTTCACCAGTTCTTCAGTGTCCTGTCTCTTTACTTCTTGGATCCTGTACTTCAGCACAGCATAAGGGACACCCCATGACACTGTGGGGGCAACAGCCCTACAGTGTGTGCAACGGAAAATCTGATTGATTTCTCCATGGGCTTCCTGTTTGGAGAGGCAGTGATGGCTGTAAGGATTTACCACCATCCTCCCTGTCCCATCCCACCTCCCACTGTTTCTTCCTCAGTGTAGAAACCCCTTCCCACTAACCAATGATCCAGTCACCAATGACCCAATGCTAAATGGTCCCAGGTCTATCTGAGTCACTGCAAACATCCAGGCCTTCTCTTCCTCTATTATAATTACCCTTCTACCAGCTCTAATGCCATTTCTTAGAAGCCTTCCCCACCTTCCTCACATAGAATTAAGTACCACCCATTGTGCTTAATCATTCTCCAAGCAGTTCTAACCACAGTAATCATGTGAAATTGTGTAGTAATCAGATGGACATTTGCTACCTCTCTCGGTGGAAATCTGAGCTCAGTAAGGACACAGCACAAGCCCTATTCATCTTCATGGCCCAGGGCCTGGTAGAGTGGCTGTCACATGATCCAGTAATTATGTGGGGCACCATGTGTTCCTGGGGAAGCAGGGGCTGAGGAAAGCGTATTTTTAGGTTTGACAGGTCTTGTGCTTTTTTGCTCTTTTAGTGTCACCGGTAAATGCTTCAAATATCCCCTGGTCTTCCTCTAGCCAACAAACTCTAACGATGATCCTGGGGGTATTAATCTTGTTAGTCATCATGGAAATTTACATCTACAGATGAGTGGAAGGCTGCTGTCTGGCCTTTGAGGACATCTTAGTCTGGTAAGGACTCAGGAGAGGTAAGCCATGGGTCTCACTCAAGACCCCGCTCCCTGATCTCTCTCCATAGAAATGGCACCCTGTCTCAGTCTTGAGCCCCCACACTACACAGCAGGGCTGGCAGCATAAAAGTGCAATGAGAGGAGGGATGAAGCAAGCATCTCCTCCTGAGGAGTGGCAAGGTCTAAGATCTGGAATGCCTGCCTGGGGTGTTGTTTCCTCACCATCCTGCCCAGGGTTCCCCCAGCCCTTTGATGGAAATATTGTTTGCTGTCTGCGTTTAGCCTGATTTAGCTCAGCAAACCTCCATCCCCTTTTCCCATTTGTGCTGTGAAGACTCACTGGTGGCGCTTGTGGCTGCAGCATTTACTCCCAGAGAATGTACAAGCTGTGATGTATGCAATCCTCTCACCACCCTCCAAACATTAAAATGGGTTAAAGAAGGACAAGAAGGACAATCTCAAGCATATGATTAGCCATGTACATTCCAGACTCACATTGATTGAAAGAATGCTAGAAAAGCATCATCACCAGGGCAGCAACGTCTTCAAGGTTCCCTGTGCTCTGATGACGTCACACCTTTCGGGCAAGAAGTTTTTAGAATTTATTTTCACATTGAAAATCAGTCAGATTTGCTTCATCCTCAAAGAGCATGTTCACTTAAAATTAAATGAATGCTGGTGGTGAGCTGTACTTTTTTTTCTAAATGGGAATTAATGTCATAGTGTCTGTTCCTGATCTCCTGTTTCTTCTCTGCGTGGTGAGAAGGTGACAATGTCACACTAACTTTTGATGGTGAAACCTGAGCTTTGATGACATTCTGGCTGCCAGTCTAATCTATTATCTCCTGCACGGAGGCGTGTTTTCCAAGATTCACATGCCTCCCTTACATGAGTGCCTTCCTTTTTATATGGTGTCAATTTAGTCATTTTGAAAAATTTGCAAAAGTAAGATATTTGGTCATAATTAATTAGGACTGCCATATCACTCTGACACTCTCTCCATCACACTTTCCTCCATGTCAGTTGGAATTGGAGTGACTGCTGGCTTTTAAAAAATTCAACTAAGAGGCCAGATGCAGGTGGCTCATGCCTATAATCCCAGCACTTTGGGAGGCTGAGGATGGTGGATCATGAGCTCAGAAGTTTGAGATCAGCCTGGCCAACATGGTGAAACCCTGTTTCTACAAAAAATATAAAAATTAGCTGGGCATGGTAGCAGGTGCCTGTAATCCCACCTACTCATGAGGCTGAGGCAGGATAATCGCTTGAACCCAGGAGGCAGAGGTTGCAGTGAGCCGAGACTGTGCCACTGCACTCCAGCCTGGGTGACAGAGTGAGACTCCATCTCATAAAAAAAAAATTCATTTAAGAGGAAGGTGAGTTACAAATATATTGATTTGGGTTTAGGAGGTATATTTATGTCCTCACACTCATTTTTTTGTACAGTTAAGTTATTGCTATGCAGAAACCACAGGTCAGCTGTCCTAAGTCATGACATGTCATGACACAAAGGTACAGGGCCACAGGTTGGATGACCCATGAATTAACACATCTATTCACATATCAACATGTCCTAGAAAAGAGAAAGTGAATATAATCACAAACAGAACACTCTATAGAAATAGAGGAAGAAAAAGCTTACCACTACATGAAAAATGGATGACCGTCATGGACAGGATGTTGAGAGGAAAATGTCAGACACAAAGAACATAATCTCTATGATTCAATTTATATGAATTTCAAAAACAGACAAACTGGATCTTTAATAATAGAAGTCAGGGTAATAATAACCTATAACTTAATCTGACAGATGATCATGCAGATAGATTTCATTTTTGAAAATACATCGAATGGACTATTTAAGATTTTGCACTTTATAGTAAGGTTGTTACATTTCAACAACAACAACAAGAAACTAAGTAGAGGTTTCAATTCCCATTATTTTCTTGACAACTGGTGGCACTCCCCATCAGGAACATATTCAGTAATAAATTAAATTATAAATATATTATATATTTTTTTCTGATGAGAATCTGATACACATGCACGCACATAGAGAACACTATTTTTTTTTAAGATGGAGCCTTGCTCTGTTGCCCAGGCTGGAGTGCAGTGGCACGATCTCAGCTAACTGCAACCTCTGCCTCCTGGGTTCAAGCAATTCTCCTGCCTCAGCCTCCTGAGTAGCTGGGACTACAGGTGCCCACCATCATGCCCAGCTAATTTTTGTATTTTTAGTAGTGATGGGGTTTCACCATGTTGACCAGGATGGTCTGAATCTCTTGACCTTGTGATTTGCCTGCCTTTGCCTCCCAAAGTGCTGGAATACAGGCATGAGCCACCACGCCCAGCCTGAGAGAACTATTATGTGACAGACACATTGCCAGATACCTGCTTGTTGGTCCTGTTTCTCTGCCACTGCTCTGACAAAAGAATTCATTCCTTTCTTCCACTGCTGTCTTTGCCCTCATAGTGTCCTCTCCAGATTGACCCAGGCAGACCTCAACATTTTCAAGTATAGCAATTTAAGTAGAGCTCTAGGGTTCAAGTCACAGTTCCTGGGGCTCTCTGTGGAGTTCAAGGTTAAGATTCCCCCTCATGAGAAAAATCGTCTACTCCATCTACAACTTACTGAGGATCCATGTTTCTTATGTAAGAAAAGACTCTACCCTTTTAGTTGCTTAAAGGAACACCATGACTCAGATCTGTGTCTGTTTCACAGGGGCCCTGACATGAAAAGAAAGTTTGCTAAGAACAGTGTCACAACAGGCTTGGCAAGATATGGCTTGAGTCAAACAAGGGCCACTGGTCCAGAAGGGGCTCATGTGGGGGGTGGTGTGATGGCAGCAGGAACCCAGGGAGTGAATATGCTCAGATGGGAAGGGATCCCACCTGCAGAGCTGCAGGCAAAGGGGTCCTGCCTTAACCTCTGGTGGAAGGTGACTGGGAAGGATTTAACTGCCCCAACCAAGCAGGCTGGGACTTCAGTGCCATTGACAGTAGCAAAGGGAGTTGGTGAGTAGGAAGGGAGGCAGAAGAACAGTTTTAGAAGCTGGGTCTGGACAGTAGGGATTTAAAGGAGGTGGGACCTCCATGGACACCTGGGGGTTTCTGACTCCCAGCCTCATCCTGGTGGCTGAGCCTGCTGCTGAAGGGCTTCCTGTCTGGGCAGGAGCAGGCAGGGCTCAAGTGCCGATGGAGGTTGGTGCCCACAGCTGAGCTGAACAGAAATGGGAGGCAGGTGGGAGGCAAGGCGGGCCCTGGGAATGGTGTGTTAGAATTCAAGGGGAAAAAAATGTATCTTTCATCCTCTGGGGAGAGCCTTCCCATTGTGTCACATAGATTTGTCTGTCACAGGGAGAATCAGCACCCAGGGAAGAAGAGTTCTGTGTGCCCATGACATGTTCCTGTTTTGTTGTCTCTGGAATTTCTTGGCATTGTTTCTGCTGATGTGACAGAAAAGAGAAAAAGCTGATCAAAGCTAAATGATAGAGCAAAGGGGTTGACAGGGAGTGTCTTTTCAGGTAAATAGAGGACATTCACCAAGAAGGGCCATTTTTGGATCATAAAATAAATCTCAGTCAGGCATAATGGCTCACACCTGTAATCCCAGCACTGTGGGAGGCCGAGATGGGCAGATCATTTGAGGTCAGGAGTTCAATACCAGCTTGGCCAACATGACGAAATCCCATCTCTACTAAAAATACAAAAATTAACCAGCCATGATGGCATGTGCCTGTAGTCCCAGCTACTCAGGAGGCTGAGGCAGAAGAATCGCTTGAACCCAGGAGGTGGAGGTTGCAGTGAGCCAAGATTGAACCATTGCACTCCAGTCTGAATGACAGAGTGAGACTCCCTTTCAAATAAATAAATAAACAAATAAATAATCTATTTCAACAAATATAAAGGGTTGAAATCATGCAAAGCATCTTGTCTGACTGCAATGGAAATAAAGTAGAAATCAACATCAGGAAGATATCTGGAAAAATCCTCAAATGTTTGGATATCTAAATAACTATATATCAAAGAAAAAGTACAAAGAAAACTAGAAAGTATTTTGAAGTGAATGAAAATGAAAATATAAAATATTAAAATCTATCATACACAGATAAGAGAGCATTTAGAGGCACCCACACTGAACTTCCGCCTCTCAAAGTGCTGGGATTATAGGCATTAGCCACTGCACCTGGCTATTTTTTCTTTTTTTTTTTTGACCTCTGAACTTTTTATTGGCTTCCTGCTCCCCAAAGGGTCCCCTGCTTCTGCTGGCGTAATGTCTCAGAACTTTGGTGTCATTGGTCTCAGACACCACTTTGCCATCCACTGTCCGGTGGGTGGTGGTCTTTTGGATGGTTTGCATGGAGTTGCTGCTGTCCAGGGTATCACTAAGACTGAAGTCCTCACCATCTTCCAGCAGGCGGCCGTAGGTGGCGATCTCAGTCTCCAGCTTGACCTTGATGTTCAGCAGAGCCTCGTACTCCTGGGCCTGGCGCTGTCCCTCTGCCAGGGTCTGTGCCAGTTCTGACTCCAGGTGCAGAAGGATCCCATTGAGCTGCTCCATGTGCAGGGTGTAGTGGGCCTCCACCTCCCTCAGGCTGTTCTCTAAGCTGATCTTCGTATTTCTCATGGAGTCCAGGTCGATCTCCAAGGACTGGACTGTACGTCTCAGCTCTGTGAGCGTCATCTCAGCAGCTTCAACCTCAGTGGACCGTGTGGTGACCACTGTGGTGCTCTCCTCAATCAGCTGAGTCCAGTAGTTGTCCAGCTCCTCTCGGTCTTCTGAGCCAGCTCATCATATTGAGCCCAGATTTCTGCCATGATCTTGGCGAGGTCCTGAGATTTGGGGGCATCTACCTCCACGGTCAACTCGTAGCTGGCAATCTGGGCTTGTAGGCCGTTTACTTCCTCTTCATCGTTCTTCTTCATGAAGAGCAGCTCCTCCTTGGGAGCCTTGATCTCT